AGTTATAGTGTTGAATGAGGATTTTGCAATTTGATCTATCATAAGAATTTCGTATAATATTGACTATCTTCTCAGGCACGCCGTAGTGTCGAAGAAGCTTTCATAGTGTTGTCCTGTCCATGCTGTCAAATGCTTCCTCGTAGTCAATGAAGTTGATGTAGAGGGATAAATTCCATTCAGTTGATTATTCCACAATTGCCGGTAGTGTTGCGGTTTGGTCCTCTTGCTTTGCCTCTCTTGATTTGTCTGATAACCATGCTGATCTCCTCAATTGTTAGTGGGCCAACATTGATTGGGAGGTCCGTGAATGTTACTTCGATGTTGAGTGGGTCCAGAGGGGCTGGTCGATTCAAACGTTTTTTGAGGTGTTCTACCCACCTGTTTCGCTTTTTTTCGATTTTGGTGGTTACTTTACCCTACTTGCTTTTCAGTGGTTGTTACGGGAGAACTGAAGACATTTGGCGGATTAAAAACTTTTATTGTACATTAATAATTTACTGTGCTTTTGGATGTAATTGTTTTACTTAACTTTTGAACTTGTTTGTTTATATCATTGTTTCGGACATTTTGGTTTGTCTTTGGTTTGGTATTTTGGTGCTTTCTTTATCTTTGGTTTGGTAATTGGGAGTTTTGCTCCGGGAACCTACAAAATTGAAGAAAGACATTCGGTCGATTATTTGTGAATTACGAATAAATTTGGTATCTAAATTGAAGCTTGGTTCTGTTGTTAATTTGGGTTCGTAATTTGCAAGTAGATCGATAGTCCGTACTTCAATAACTGGAACGAGCAAAACTTGGACGTAACAGTGGTCGTTCTGGTTTACGATGTTTTCCAGAGAGTTTCTTTGTTGTGTCATACAGTTCTCTCATGTTTCCTTCTCTTGCAGCCTTTTCTGCCGTCGTTGCTAAATCCTCGACATATTTGCGTTTGTCGGTTCTGATGCTACTCTTCTGTGTATTCAGCATGTGCCTTGACTTCTTCTGCCCTTGTTCGGCTGGTATTGATTGCTGCCTTCTTGTCCCTCCTTTCTTGAATCTTATCCAGTGTATCAACAGTGATCCATCCCTTGTGATGGTGCTTCTTGTGTCCCGTCACCTCATGACATGTTGAAGTGATTGCGTTTTTTATACCTTTTCAGTTGCTTTCCATGAGGTAGATCACGAGAAGCCTCGAACCTATTGCCACGGACTCTCCAGAATTTGTTGAGTTTGTCAGTATCCCGAATTCGACGTTGACCTTAAAATGTCGATTTTTTAGATATGGAGTAAACCAATTAATTGAAAGTGATCTGAAACCTAGTCGTTTCAGCTTATTGATAAGACATTTATGCTTGACCCTATCAAAAGCTTTCGAGAAATCAAGGTTGTCCACCTGTCCAACGCGACCAGTAGATTAGTTATACATGAGTGACCTTTTATGAAATCGCGCTGTTGGGGTGAAAAGAAGCTTATGGATAGTAATTGGTCACGTGTAACGCCGCACGTCAGAGACTCCATAATTCTTGAGGATAATGAGAGCAGTTCTTTCGGCATATATTATTATTATTATTATTATTATTATTATTATTCACAAACATCTTATGGGTACATAAGTGTTGTGAAGAAACCATTTCGGGTTTCTTCAAAAAATGCAATAATACACAATTTTCAATAATATAGCTTATAGGTTCACTGCGACGACCTTCCTTGAAAATTGGTGTAATAATAATATATTTCTGCATGAGCAGGTAAACACCATTTTTACAGACATGATCTACAAATTGCAACATCTGTTGGCTCACAGCATGCTTCCCAAGTAGAGTCGTTAAATAAATGAAATCTATAAAATTGAATAGTAGTTCATTCGTGGAGATGTCTTGCAGCCATAATGATTAGGTTTATGCTTCAGTAGTACACTATGTGCAGTCTTCAAAATAATTTTCATAGCGGCATTGTGTTCACGCTGCACACCAATTCCAATCTCAACATAATTGTGTTAAAATTCTGGTCGTGATAAGTATTTACGCAATACAACCTTTTAAGTTTATAGTTGTTATAAAGTAGACTCGTATAGCGCTTGCTGTAAACTATGATCTTGACGGGACGCGTACGTCAAGTTTGTCCCAGACGGCAGAATTTCCATAGCTGTGCCCTCAGAGCGAAATTCTGAAGAAACTAAGAAGAAAAACAGAAGAACAACAAGGCACTTGGATATGAACGCCAAGCATTACTTAACATTGTGTAGTAGTGTAGAACTATGGTCTACTATGATATTAGTACTGCTCTAATAATAGACCTAATCCTAAAATTGTAGATTTGTCATGATATAACTGCCTAATCTATAAGATCTTACGTGCAAGTCACACCATCGACTACACCAACTCACTGTATCGTATCAATTACCAATACATGATGTAGAACAAGGTTAGGCTAGAGAAAGAACAATATATTTAATATGAATAGGAGATATAAGATAACATCCAGCAGGGACAACGCCTACATGGCCGACCCATGCCACTCGATCAACTCCAGTCCATTCAATTCATTATTCGCGCCTTCTCCATTGTTAGGTATTTCTCCGCGTTAAATATTGAATATCTATTTTCTGAGTAGTCTCGTGTTCACAGCTTTGTGGATTGTGTGGCTATTGTTGAATGCCACAACACTACCCTCCGCAAAGCAGAAAGGTCTTTCCTCAAAAGCCCGGGAAGGAATAATGGAGAACAGTAAGGAATAATAGGTAATATGCAAGAATTGACAAATCGTAAGAATAAATGACGAGTAATCCCAGGAGCATGCAATCTCTTAATGTAGTAAGTCAGACGGAAAACCTTCCTTGATAACAATAAAAAGTGGGAAGACCAAGACAGATCAGAGGATAAGGTGACACCAAGATAATTGACCTTCGACACCGCGTTTATCAAAGAGTCTCCGATGGCAGATCATACAGAAGAAAGAGAAAAGAAGAGGTGAAAGAATAGCTCCTTCTGGTACACCTTCATGAGACAGCAGAGACTCTGAACACTTTCCTCCAAACACAGTGTACTGTTCCCTTCCAGAGAGGTAGGAACATAGCCAGTTGGTTATCCAGCTGTTAGTGTTGACGATGATTAACTTGTTAATTAAACGTTGTCTTGGTATAGAATCAAAAGCTGAAGTATAGTCCAGAAAAGCGCATCGAACATACTTCTTACCCTTTTCTAAGTTGAACACTATGTTGTGATGCAGAACAGCAACAGCATTTTAAGTGCTTCTTTCGCGTCTGTGAGCAAACTGATATGGATCAATGTGCTCTTTTGTCCCAAGCTGAAGTGGAAGTATTAATAATTTTTCTATTGTTTTGAGGTAGGATGAAGTTATAGCAATTGGTCTAAATTTCACATTCTTATCACCAGATACTTTCTTGGGTACAGGGATTATCTTCATCTTTCTCCACATTTTCGGTATGAGATTAGATGAGAAGGATCTGTTAAAGATAACTGTGAACGGATAACATAGGACGTCAGCACAATTTTTAAAAAGGAGGTTTGGGATACCATCAGGTCCCAAATGTCGAGATGAATTAAGCGACTGGAGACATCCTCGTACATCAGTTTCAGTGAAAGTAGGAACACAGCTTTTTTTTAAACCCGTGGATAGAGGGAGCATCACATCAGATGAATGACGTACAAAAGACTTATTTAAGTCACAAACATTCAGCTGGTTGTCGCTCCTAATCTGTCTGTCACCTGTAAGTTCTTTAAAGAGTTTCCACATACTTGTAGAGTTTTTGCAAGACAAGAGTTTTGGAGTAAACATACAGTTGAGACGTCTAATCTCTAGGTTTATCAGACCGTTTAGCTTATGAACTTCATTAGAGTTCTTCTCGTTGTACATTCTTTCTTTCATTCTCCGTAGTCGTTTTAGTTGTGAAGATGTAATTCGATCAAAACTTACAAAAATGGTTTCAGTAGGACAACAAATATCAAAACAGAATCTAAGGTAATAGGTGATAACATCAGTAGTGTTTTCCAGTGAGTCATCTGTAAATAATTCCCAGTTAGTCGTATGAAACATGTTTTTTAGATTTCGGATATTTTGTTCTGAGTGATTCCTATATTTGTCTCTCTTGGTTTGATGTAACAGTGTACTCTTCCCATGCTTTCCATATACTTAAGGTAGAACACGAATTAAACAGTGATCTGACCTAGACAATGGAGCACGTTTACGAGTCGCATATATATCCACATCATTAATGAAAACGAAGTCTAAATGAGCATCCAAACGAGTAGGAAAATCTACTACGTTTTGGTGACCTAGTGACGTAAGGAAGCAACAGTCACATGAATTGAAATCACCACGTACAAATGAAATCGAATCACTGAAGGCAGTAACAGCAAACTCAGTGAATTCATCAGCGAAAACAGATAGTGCAGATGATGTGCAATCTGGAGTCACGTAGATGTTTTGGACGACATCTTAGAGCTAGACAGTCGATAAAGTCATTTGAAAACTTAAAACACACAAACGAAGATCGACACCATTTTACGTTTAAAAACGTAGCTGAATAAGTTATGAGATTGATGGACATAATTATAAGTTAAAACAAACGAAAAAACCCAGATAACTTGTTGAAATAATCAGATGGCAGGAACAAGTAGCCCAGATATTCAAGCACGCCGTCCAAGATCATGTACATATTTGGGCAGCATCACTGAGGAACACGGTGGATCTGATGCAGATGTAAACGTGTGGATCAACAAAGCAAGGGTAGCATGTTTACGGTTGAAGAACATCTGGAACTCGAAACAACTGTCTGTCAATCAACATCAAAGTCAGGATTTTCAATACAAATATAAAAACAGTTCTACTTTATGGGACGGAAACCTGGAGAACTACCAAAGCCATCATTCAGAAGATACAGGTATCAGTGATCCACTTATACTAGAGACACAGGCCAGTTAAACAAAAGCTTCTTCCATTCCGTTCAAAATCATTTAACCACTTTAACTTTTAGGATCGCAAGTTAAATTATTGCGGAACTGAAGGTCAGGCAGAATGCCGTTCCCTGAACCGATACCATCCTATTTTGACTTACAACCTTCGCCAGGACCATCATATCAGTTTAGGTCTGTCGAAGATGTCAACAATATTGTCCAAATGCTGTTATGGAAAGTCTCTCAAGAACACCGGTATACTGGCGTTGGTTGCATACAGGAGGAGCTTTTCAGGGTATTTATACTTTCATCATAAAACATGTAATTTTAAGCATTATCCGTCAGCCATAAATTTTATTACAAGCATTCGAATGAATGCAGACTGTATACCCCGTCTGGCAGAACACAAAAAGTTAATTCAAAGGGTTAACACGCTTTTGTGGGCGTATGCTACTACTCGTAACGTTGTAACTTTGGCGGACATGGATCAGCTAATACAGGTATGTATTAATGTCTATTTTTATTTTTTAATTGGTACTGTCACTTGTTTGGTTGCGATTATTGGAATCTAACTTGTGACAGCATGAAATCCCGGTGGCTTCTGACAAGACTTAACCCATTTCTGAAACTACTAACGTATAAACATCTATGCCAGATCATTTGAAGTCTCTAATTGGAAAACTGTGTTTCATCTCAAACTATAAGGTCCAAGTAACGTCTTGATGATTGACTTTTTTACTATAAAATCCAACCTACAATATTTCTAGCACAGGAAAGAAATTCAGGCAATGCTTAAGTCATTGCACTCTCAGCTAATAATTTGCAGACCGAAAATTTGTCTTGCCTACTTTACTTCGTACGTCCAAGTATCATCATTAACTTCTATTGAATTTGTTAAACACAAATCTGTACTTCATTACTGAATTACGTTAATCACACAAAACCACTGGACACTTTTAAATTGGTTGAGTTTTTAAAGAAGTTTATGGGGTGACCATTGATGGCCTAAAAATTTTGTGTGATATTGTTAGGTTTGAAGCTTCACGAGTTCACTTAATCTGCGAACGAGAACAAGACTGAGTGACCAAAGACCAGTAATCTAGCTATTGATGAGTCCCAGCCCCGTTATCTAGAAGAAGTTCAAGCTTGGTATGGAAAATATATTCTGCAAACAACCAGAAAACGAGCGATCCCACAAACACAATTTAAAACGTATATATACAAATACATATAATCGATATTGTTATTGGAGATTTTTAAACATTACTCAATCAGTTCATCAATTGACTGCTATTAACCATTTAATCGATAAGTTAATCGATATGATAAAACTACAAATATGAGTTTTGGGGATATGTCGTCTCCAACAGATATACACTTTTCACAAGTTACAAAGCACATCCTAATTTTCTATTTGATACTTCGAGTGGTTCTCAGCTTGAATTCTCGGTAAACCCTCTACTTTTCCGAATTGAGTTCTTTTCCTTTAGTTGTATTTAAAATAACTTCGAAATTGCGTTAGAATATCTAAGGAATTTAAAAGTTGCTTCATCAAATAATTTCTTGCGTTTTGTGTTTTAAGTTGGAAGCACCAAATGATTATCGACTTCTTGGCCCAATCGTAAGTTTACCAGCTGCACTAGAAATACTTCAAGTTAGTGAATTTGATCAACATATAGTGGCGTGTTTCACAACAGGATTTACAAATCAAGCACTGAAAATGTGTACAGAGGATGTTTTAGAAGAACTAAAAACTTGCATCTGTAAAAATCGATATCGTTTACCTACAACTGTTAGTCGAGGATCAGTTTGTTCGTGGTGGGAATCAGTGTTTACAAATCATATGCTGGGAGTTTTGGATAATGTCAGGGTCGTACAACGTAGCAATCAGTATCAAAAGTTGAATCAGCTGGCCAAGTATGGAATTAGAATTAAGGGGTTCTCCCATCTTGTCCAAGTAGGTTGTTTCCTATTGTCTTAATGAATTTTTCTGTAGTATGTATATATAATCACATTAAGTTTAAAAGTAATCAATTTAGCTTTACTAGTTTTTGTTCAGCTACGTACATTATCTTTCGCTTTGTGGTTTATAACAAAATTCAGCAATGAAATACACACTTCCCTAGTTAGTCGTCAGCTTTATGTATGTTTTTTAAAAAGACCTCGACAACTCAATGGCCATGGTCAAAATATACGAAGGCACTTTTCAAACTGTTTTTCAGTGGGGAATGTTTCATTCTTTATACCGCTACATTTGTTACCATTATGAAGTGACATGTAGCACCGCGGCTCAAAATTCGGCAAAAGTTTTACCAGTTGGTCATAATGAGCTATTGAGGTTAAATTTTCCTTATAATACACTAGCTGTTTAACTTAGCTTTTTTATTAAGATATATACAAAATATTTACTAGCAAGATGGATTTTTCAAGGCATGTATATTGGGGCTACATTGAAAATCCACAGACCCATGATAGTCCCGAATTACGCCTTCTGTATTAAGAGTTGAGTGTTTGTGTTTTCCTACATACTGGATACATTTATTAAGTTTCATAATGATTAAACTTCCAGATCATGAAAAAGTTATTCATCCTCATAACTTACCATTAAGGATAAAATGAAAGGTAAATGGAAAATGAAATTAATTATTTATTCAATTCTTCAAAGTTTTTGAGCATTTATCAGGGAATACATGAAAATCAGTTCAGCGTTCATAAAGATACATTATTAACAAGTGTCTAGTTGTTCCATCGTATCTTTCGAAGTGTCTTGGCGAATAGCCATTTATTCTCAACAGCAAGTAGATAAGTCATTGTCAGTAGATGACCATTCGAATACTGCTTCACGTATTTCGATTTGAGCAACTAGGTAGCATTACTAGCCCTCACACTTAGGGTGTGACTTGAAATTAAATTCACGAATCTGTACCTGGTAGTTGAGTTAATCAAAATTAGAAATTAACACGAGGTATCAGGTTACTATAACATAATTCTTTGCCTCTATTCTTTATAGGAAATAACAAATAATCTAAGGCCTGAGAATCTAAATAAAGCTGCTAGACTAGCACAAGATCAATTAGATAATGATATCCGTCAATTGTATAAGGACTTTACTTCCTCCTTGGTGAGTAAATCAGCTCTAAGTAAGTGCTTAAATTGTTTTTTTTCCACATTTTTTTCATTATTGTCTTAATTTACATGTATACTTATTTAATGAAGAAAGCTGCGATATATTTAAAGCTACTCAATTGCTTAAATGTACTTACTTACTTACGCCTGTTACTCCTCATTGAGGAGCATAGGCCGCTCACCAGCATTCTCCATGCAACCCTGTCCTGGATAATCCTTTCCAGCTCTTTCCAGTTGTTATTCATCCTCTTCATATCTGCTTCTATTTCCCAATGTAATGTGTTCTTTGGCCTTCCTCTTTTCCTCTTCCCTTCAGGATTCCAAGTTAGGGCTTGCCTTCCAATGCAGTTTGATGATTTGCGTAATGTATGTCCTATCCATTTCCATCGTCTTTTCCAAATTTCCTTTTCAACTGGAAGCTGTTTTGTTTTCTCCCACAGAAGGCTGTTGCTGATGGTATCCAGTCAATGGATGTTGAGTATCTTGTGTCGACAGCTATTTATAAATGCTTGTACCTTCTTGATGGTGGTTGTTGTAGTTCTCCATGTTTCATCTCCGTACAGTAGAACTGCCTTGACATTCGTATTGAAGATTCTCACTTTGATGTTGGTTGAAAGTTGTTTTGAGTTCCATATGTTCTTCAGTTGTAGGAATGCGGCCATTGCTTTGCCAATCCTCGCCTTTACGTCTGCATCTGAACCTCCTTGTTCATCAATTATGCTTCCCAGGTATATGAAGGATTCTACATCTTCCATAGTTTCGCCATCAAGAGTGATTGGATTGCTGTTCTCCGCTTTGAATTCGAGGACCTTGGTTTTCCCCTTGTGTATTTTGAGGCCTACTGATGCAGAGACTGCTGCTACACTGGCTGTCTTCATATGCATTTGTTCGTGTGTATGCGATAGGAGGGCTAGGTCATTTGCGAAGTTCAACTCGTCTAATTAGTTCTGAGCTGTCCATTGTATTCCGTGCTTTCCCTCAGATGTCGAGGTCTTCATAATCCAGTCGACCACCAGAAGAAAGAGGAAGGGAGGAGTAGACAGCCTTGTCTGACTCCGGTCCTTACTTCGAATTCATCAGTCAGCTGTCCTCCATGCACGACCTTGCACTGTAGTCCGTCGTATGAGTTCCGGAAAATGTTGACAATCTCAGGAGCTCCATAGTGTCGAAGAAGTTTCCATAACGTTCTTCTATCTACACTGTCAAATGCCTTTCCATAATCAATGAAGTTGATGTGCAGTGACGAGTTCCACTCAACTGATTGTTGGACGATGATCCGTAGTGTTGCAATTTGGTCTGTAGTGTAGTGGAAATTAAAAATTTAACAAAATGCAAGTAATAAAGATAGTGAAAGGTAATAAAATTATCTCTTGATCGGTTCCTAATCTTAATGAAAATCAACAATCTCCACAACTGACAGTTATCATGTAACCACTGACTAGCTTCAGGAGGAAGTTTCCGTAGATCTAGTGAAAATCTGTGGCCAGTGGAAATAAACTATGTCAGGTTTTAGGTAGTTATCCACCAAAGACAATGGGAGATGGTTGCGTAATCTTGTGAATTGATTGAGGTCAAATATTAACACCGTTGGATGTCAGCTCAGTGGTCTAGAGGCTAGGAGTTCGTACGCGAGACTGAAGGTATTGGGTTGGATTCCCGTGTGCGGGATCGTGGATTCGCAATATTGAGGAGTCCTACACTAGGACGAGATGGCTCTCCAGTGCTTCCAGGTTTTCAATGGCGGTTTAACTTATATCAATTTATGATTTCAATAAATAGCTTGGTTTTGTTCATTATATCTAACAAGTCATTAACTAGTAACAACTGAAGGTCGACAACTGCTCACGTCATATTCAGGATAATTTTCATCCTAAATAAGGAAGTATCTATTTCCAAACTTATGGATGCACAACTTGTAGACAGTTTTAAAAACCTGTAAATAATGAATAGATTGAATAGGGTGATTTATTGGTTAAAGTACTTAGCTTTTTATAGTTAGGCTACAGGCTTAAACCCACCCAGCCTACTTTGCTGCGAATAGCCAAGTGGTATCACTAGCCCCCAAAACCAGGGTACATAAGCATCTGCTCATTAATTAAAGCTTATAAGCAAACGTGTCATCTTATTCATACATTGCTAACGATTCCTCGTATATATATTTTTGGGGTATCAATTAGTTTGAAGGGAGGTTTCTACCGTACTAACTATCGACATCTTGCTCAAAAACTTAGGGAAACTTGTCTTGTTTTAACATTCGATGTATTTAAATCTATTTCTTCTAGAGTCATATCGATCTATGAAACCAGTCAATGTTCTTAAACATTTGGCAACTTGTGCTACACAGTTACACGCTGAACTGCAAAATTGGGCTGAAGAGAGAAGTTTAGTATGGCCTAAAGGACATTTAGATTCGCTACTTGTATTTGGTCAATTTATGCAACGTATTGCTGCTACTGGGGTAAGAAATTTTATATATATATATATATATATATATATATATATATATATATATAATGGTGGAGCGTTTTTGCACTCTTGAGGGAGATTAAGCTCCTTGTGGGATTAGAACCCACATCACCCAGCCTCACATTTTGAAACGTTACCACTGACTTATTCAGGATGCGACTGGTCTTCAGACTATGGTACAACTGGTTGCTTACTGAGCTATAACCAATGTTGTAGTTGTCTAATTTCTTAGTGCCGAATAAATTCAATCGACCAAATTGCGTTTCCACCAAGATTCCGACTACACTTTAATTATGAATATCAGCTAACACTAGACCTTAGTCAAGTAGTATATTACGGACGCTCTGTATAAGGATGCACATTTTACATAAATTAAGATTTGCTATCATTTTTCCCTTAGTACATATATTTTTTCCTTTTTCATGTCTTTCAGCCTTTTCGTACTCTCGTACATTTACTCATTCTACTCTTCAATACGGAATCAATGAATATCAAGGAATTATTGACTCGAATCGTATCGTCTGTGCGTAAGGCGGATCGAGTTTTGGAATCATCGTCACAACCAACAGCAGCAGATGATACGGAACTTATTGACCTGACAGTTAATTCAGACGATGAATTATGTGAGATTTCAACGAAACTTGACGGTATGAGTTATTACTGCTAGAAAATAACGTTGAATTTATTATTTCCCACTTATGTATGAACTATGGTTCTTAGTGCAACTCATTAAGTAGTTTTATTCACTTGGTTTTGAGTTATGCTGTTTTTGAGATCGCTAATTTTAATATCCGTCAGCCCGAAATAAAGTAGAAGAGGTTGATTTCAAACCCATAACGCCCTTGTTCAAAGTCCAGTGCCTTATATATTAATACTCTAGATGTGTGAAATATTCAAGTCTTCTGACAATTTCTGTATACACATAAACCGTCAACTACACTCTGTATGTGACTATATTCGGAACTTACCTCTTGATTTAATCTAAAATCATCAAACTAGTTATTAGACTAAATTATTAACAAAAAATATTCACCTTATGAATTAAAATAAGTCTGTCGATAAATAAATTTTGTGGCAATGGTACAAATGTATTAGTAAGTCATAGGTTAGTGATTGAATCCCTCGATTCTTATCAATCAAATTATTGATTTTTACCCACCAACCTAGTTTGTTTCGATCAGCTGGACAGTATCACTAGTCCTCAAGTGAATCTGTGTCTGTAATTAAGACGATCAAGTTTCATCCACTAAGTTACAGATTCTTGTTACCGCTCTATCTATTTCTGTTTGGACAACTGACTAATATCACCAACCTTCACACTAAGACTGACTTGAAGTCAGACTACACTAACCTATACCTAGTAGATAACTTGATGATGACAAGTCTTTAGGATGTACTTGATAATATAAATTATAAATATCTTCAAGGACTGACAATTGTTATTTAAATAAAATTTTCAATATCTCTATCATTGTTTACTTTTTGCAGATTCTATCACAACTAAGTATCCCGAATTGACAGAGGTTGTAGACAAATTTAATGATTTATTAAAACAACAACAGCAACACGAAGAAGAAGGTAATGTTGTGAATCAGTCCAACAATTTGTGGTTATCACTGGCATCATTGGAACGTGAAATTTTCCCACAAGTAATTGGTCAGAATTCTCCATCTTTATTAAGTCTACTTGCTGAAGCTATAAATGACGGTGTGAACAATGTGAATTTAGTAAGCATCAAGTCTTTTTTTTTCTTATTTCCTAAAAAATACTTTAATTCCTATAATTCACCAACGTATCACACGTTTGTGTATCAGGACGTAGCATGAATTCTTTAGCTGTTAGTCTAATGCATGTTATTAAGTGCAAAATTCTTGGTTGGGAGGTTCGCTTGATAATCGTGATTAGTAGTTGAAAATGTTGAGTGATATAGTTAAAAAATCTGTCTGTGTCGCAGATAATTCTACTTTTTGTATACCACCTAGATCCTGAACTTCCTGAGTTGTTCCGTGAATCATTACTTCCCTTTTAAATTACACTTTCTTTGTCTAATCTTTTTTACTGTCTCTACTACTACTATCGGTTGTGTTGTATATTTTTCATACTTTCATCTAGCTATCGTGATGTGGTGTGGCAATTTAAGTTGATGAACATATGTTCTAGGTTCTATTTCAATTGTGACTGATCCTTTGTTCTATTAGCGTACTCGAGTTTAATCAACAGCTTTGTGTCTATGAGAATGACTGAAAATACAGGACTGCCTGAACTGAAGTACGTGTAGTGGAGTTCGGATGTACCGCTTAGTGATTACATGTTGAACACTTTAATTACCAATTCACCACATCAATCAATTGTATATTTCAATGATGACAACTCAAATAAATACGTATTTCGCCCCATTTAGGACTCCTCATTTGAATGTGGTTGTATTCATGTTAATGTTTTCATTAACATTCATATCTGGTATCCATACTTTCTGTAACTTTATTGACAGTATTAAGGGTAATGTTTACCAAAGTGTTTACTAGGTAATATGCATTCATCTGTATATCTGGTGTACTTGCCTATTTTTCGAAACCAAACTTGACAGAAAGCGATTAATGTGGCTTGTTATTCACTGAATTAGATCATTCCTGACTAGTTAAAATGGCTTCTTTGAATCTAGCCTTATTGAGAATATCATCAATAACTTGTGGACACATTTAGTTGATTAATCTCAATTGAGAAAAGGAAAATGCTTCCCGGATTCTACAAATTAGTGAAATATGTTTGTATGAATGATTTCTTCCTAAGTTGATGGGAATCCTGTTAGTGTACAAAACGAAATTTCATTCTCTAGTACTCTTAAATTTCATCTGAATAAATACATTGGAGAGTGAGAAACTCAGAATCATTTTTTTGGTTTCTCATAAACAATAATTTAATGTAGACTAGTTTAAACTCTAAAATCTCTTTTCAAAATGGTTAAGATAGCGACATACATGATGTTAATTAGCAATATAGAGAAAATGATCTGTTCAAAGTATGTTTGAACACACACTGGTTACGCTAATATGTATAAATTAGAACCAAACTCTATAGGAGTTTTATTTATTTATTTATTTCAACACATAGATATTGGTACAAGAAGGCACCAAATACATATGCGCCACACAGATATCATTTGATATGTGTGAGGGCTGTGATACTGCCCGGGTGCTCAGACCGAAGCAGGTGGTTTTCTTAAAGGGCCACACCCCGAGTCTTTGACCTAAAGATCTGACCCAATAGGTAGTGGAGCATCGCAAGGAGATGCACTCCCATGGAAGCCGGTGACCAACAATTGGTTTATACGCTATTTGTTCCCGCAGGATGCTGGAGCCCATGTGCACTATTGATTTGGAATCCGGTTAAAGCGCCGGACATTCACTATTCGTCGTCTCATTTTCGCAAACAACACCGGTGCCACGAGAAGGCAGTGAGTAGAACTTCCCTGGCAGAGGCTATATACGCGTGGCCGTGTGAGAGCATTTCGAGAGGGAGAGCGGACTCTCCCCACTTTCGACCGTACCAGGGCATTTGGGGCTAGGAATGTGAAATTATGGCTTCGTGTTTAACACCCTCTACTTCCAACCATTGAGTTTCAGGTTCGAACTCCACTTTAAGTATGTACATTTAAATAGTTGGGGAATATTACTATTAATAAAAAAAAGCTCATGACCAGATTGATAATTTTTACATTACCAAATAGTATTTTGACAAACCAATGAAGTGTGACTCAGTAAAATGTCAAATATAATACAAGTTACTCATGAGTAATATAATTAAATAAAGTTTCAGAAATGAATTACATTGTTTATTTTTATTAGTTTCCAGTTAATGTGACTGATATCAGAAAAGATAAAATACGTGATGAAAACAGTTACAATGAATCAAGTCCAGGTAAAGCTAGTGTTCTACACGAAGAATCATCAACATCAAGAGATATAGATCCTGGATTAGTATTTGACTTCGTACAGAAATTGACATGTATCTCTTCGAGAAGTAAAGAGGTTAGTTATTGTTCATCACGTTTATCATCACAGTTCTATCTCTAATTTCTTTCAAGATTTTCTACTAGTTAACTGGGTTTTTTTCGTAGAATTTATTTGATTACCTGTTTTCATTGTCAATATCTTTGCGCCCAGAAAAATACAGAAGTATGTATTGCTTAATGTATATTACATAGACAAGTTACATTGTAGTTGGTACAATATAAAAACAGTTATGATTTCAAGATATTATTTATTGCAAATTAATTTTAGGTGAAAAGAACCGTTAAAGGGAGTACTATACAACTGATGTTACGTGGTTGGATATGGTTGACAGGAGACCCTGAACTTAGATTTTGTGTTAGTTGGCACTTACCAGCAGGGTATACTTTCAGTCCTTAAAGAACTGATGCTTCTTATTGGATTTGAGTCCACGTCGTCCAGCTTAATAGTCTGAGACGTTATCATTAAGCTCTTCGGACCACAGACATTTGATTTTCCATCTTTGTAACTTTTCCGCTATGGGTACTTCTAATTACACACATGTACTGGTTAATGGTGAAAAGCTTCACCTTTTCCTATTGATGACATAAATCATACGATTCCACATATCAGCTGAGATTTCAAATATGAATAAATTTGTTTCGACTTATCTTTAATTCGTTAATAAGTCATATGAACGTCCTATATTCAACCCTATATTTTGGAATAATTCTTGCACGTTTCATGGAAGTCCTTAAACTAGACAATTATGCTTTTCCTAACACAAGGATCAAATTGACAAACTTAAAACCAAAGACATAAAATACAGCTATATTATTGTAATATTATACTATAAATTTCTTAGGCTTCTGTGTATGTATAGATTTCTAGAAATCCTATAAATAATACGAACTACAGGATATATGACTGAAAGACCCGAATGTATATTGTATCTCAGGACGTTGCATTAGTTCATCAAATCATCTGAGTCGTGTTAGTGAGGATTTACACGATAATGACAATAAATGGTTGGAGATATTGGTTGACATAAATCAGAATCGGTCTCATCGGTATTGATACATTGAATCTATACCTTCCTTTATATCTTCCAGTTCCAATATTCCCCGTACAAATCTTTTCACTCTTTTTTCTCGGATCATAATACCAATTTTTAATTCTTTTCAAATGGCATTACTATTACAATTATTTTGACTATTTTACCATTCGTCTTATTAATTTCATTTTGCTATACTTATTTGGTATAATAACTTAGACTAACGGGAATTTGTACACCACGCTCTATATTGATTATGATTAATTCATTCATGTTTCAGGATAAATGATATAACTTGTTTGTAACACTTCTGGTTAATATCTATGGGGAAGTATAATTGATAATTGTTCTTTCTTAACCTTTAATGAACAATTGAGCTGATAATATGAGTACTAATTTTGGTCGAACACAGTAACTTATGTTTCATCCAAAAACGATATCTCTTTTCGATTTGGATTAATTATATACACTCTTTATCTTCCCTTAAACTGTGCGATTATAATCGCTTCATCCCTTTCTTTCTACGAACTAATTCTTTCTTTCTATACTATATCCTTATATGCAATCTTTCTTTTATATATTACCAGACAGTCAGTCAGTAACAACGTAGAACTCCATACGTACGTACATCAGTTCGAGTTGCCATACCACATCAGCACAGAGATGCAGTTGTCGATTCAAATCCCATAGTGGTAGAGGTAGTAAGAGTATAAGCAGTAATCGGGAACATTCGGGATTGAAGATGTTATTTAAAGAGTATAATCCAGTGAAATAAATTTGGAAAGGGGAAAAAAGGAACACGAAGAATTCAGAAGATTAGAATTCAGGAGAGCACAGAGTGGATAAACCTGTGTCATTGCAAATGATTTTGAACCATGTCATGTCCTGACCGTAGCCGCTACCTTGACGTAGTGGTCGGGCTTGCCTATCCTGATGACCCAACCGAGCTATATTGACTGGAACATATGTTCCTGCAGGTTTTACCATGCCAGGCAGGTCGATTGGAGAATGGTAAGACTAAAAGCAGAAACTCAAGGTCTGAGGGCGAAGTCGTACTGCTGACTGTAGAGAGGTGTGACAGCAGTAAGGTGTTTCCTTCGCACAACCAGCATCTGCAGCGATGCTGCCTTCTCACAAAGAGGGGTGGGGTTAGAAAAGGTCGGCCTTAAAAATGTCACACCTCACCTTACCTCACGGATTTCCGTCTCCGGCGGTAAGGCCCTTTGAAGAACGGAGCTAACACGTTAAAAACCTCCCACTAATAGGCCGTGCGCGACCGGCCTCAGGGCTCTGCGGTCACGCTCCTAGATTGTTAAGACCAACATTGATCTAAATTCTTTCTCAGGTTCCTCAAGAAATACCCTTCCGCAGTGTAGGCAACCGGGAAGTGATATCAACTCTTGTACCCGTAACGAGACCAAGTTGGTCACATTCAAATCCTTCCTACATCTAATAACTCTCTTTATATATTACCACTACTGAATTAACTACTTCTATGAATTTGGTGTTCATCTTCTTGTGCTAATGAGGTATAGCAACTTGGACCGATGCATATATGTGCCTGGTCCTACGCTGTAGCTGACTGACTGAAATACATTTTGGATAAATTTCTGTGCACAATTTCCTGACTGTCACCAGCAATAATCCATGTTTTTCTTTTTATAAAAAAAACAAGGTATATGTTTAATAATTAAAACACTGGTTACTACCATTGTTAATGCATTCATGTCATCACTTACGTTATCTAATCCTTTTATTGTTTTCCTTAACAACAACAACAAAATACAAATTTAGGAATTGTGTAAACTTGTCTGTGAAAATTTACGCATCATTCACTCATCGAAATTGGAGCAGTTGATTGAATCAATTTTATCACAAACTATGGATGATCATGAAATCAATAAAGTAAAACCATTAGTTTATCAGTAAGTTAGTTGTTTTCTTTTTTGTTTGTTTATTGTATGTGTTATTCGATTGATTGTGGCGGTTATTGGTTAAAGTTGTAGAGTTTATTACTAAAATTATATTTATACATGTATATCCTTACTTGGTAGTGAATATTCTGAAAAGTTTACTCTTAATTTTATGAATGGAAGTAACTAAAAAAAAACACGGTTCATGGATAGTCAAGTCGTCGGAAATTGTTTCTATCGTATAAAAAGAATACTCGTCAATATAGAATACTTCTATTATATTTTCTTACTTTGTGATTGGATGTAAGGTAGCTGGATCGCGCCAGTATTCAAAAAGTATGGTAAACAAACGGAAGCTACACTATGATGCATATTAAGTTTGGAAGTAGTGACTAAGTGGTTGTGGTGGTCGACTCATAGCCAATAAACTTCAGGTTCAAACTCGATTCCACTTCGCTTTGGGTAACTGGGTGGTATTAGCGATCTACAATTGAATGTCTTGAAGGGGTTCTATGAAGATTGATTCAACTTGTAGGATGTATCCTGTTGAAACGGCGGCTAACCAATATGTGGAGGCTAATATCCTCAGTATCTGACTCCAATAAGTAATATCCCGTAAACTGAGTATTTAAGGTAGGCTTAATCTCCTAGCAGAATTGCGGATTTACTCAAGATTATTGAGAAGCCTGAACACTAGTTTATTGTTAATGATAAATAAAAATCCACAAGCGTACGGTGAGCAAGCACACGATGAAACAGAATAAGTGAGTGTATGTGTGTGTTTAAAATCCATATATATTTTTGAGAGTTAATCGGGTGTGGATAAATTATCGATTATCTGCACATTGAAACCAATAGGAGGATAGCTTAAGAGTTAATGCACAGACATGCATTCGATCTTACACACCGAAATTAACATAGGGAATTAAGAGTCTGAGTTACAATGAATAGACAAATGATACAGTGGTCAAATGGGCTTGCCACAATTCACAGATTGATCTCAGGCTATTATTGGAAACTAAGGCGCACTGTTTCGTATTAGCATGGAACTCTTCAGCAGTGCATATTCATGACTCTTATATGGGTCGAATTCTGGACTTCTGGGCCTCTTGGCGAACACCTAACCATCAGAACCACTGGGCTAGGGTCCAGTTTCAGCTTCAGCTAGTTTTTAATATAGCGCAACAACCATTCAGTTTCATTGGTGATAACTGTTTCACTCTCAACGTGTTTGAACTTTACCAGTCACAACTTCTTACTAGAGCTTCAAGAACATCCTATAGCAAGTCACTAGTGAGGTGACTTTTATCGGTCCAATTGGAAAGGTTTTGTAGAGAATAGTTTACTTTGTAGATTTTATTCGTCACAGCGTTCTTCCTGAAAGTCGTGATCTCTATCCCTGCCGGTCGTGTATTACGCCTCGGTTTTCAATGATACCCAGACTAAGATCGAATTTTGTCGGAAGCAACTTTAATAACAACCCTATATTCATTAAACCCCTTCAACAAAAACGCACTAGTTTGGACTCTCGATTTGAAATCGCCCAATATTCACGTAGTTACTGGATTACTTTATGCAAAAAGTATATTTTTATAGGATTTGCTTTTTCTTCAAACTATTTTTTATGCGTAGTGAATTTTAAGATTTCACCTCACGTGTTGGATAAGACAAGCTAGCTTGTAATGTATTAATCCACTCTTTTCTAATGGCAATGGCGTATCATGAATAATTACTGTTATATTACTGGTTGTAAGGTTTCTGTTTTGATATATGGTATCAACTCAGATCGAATGTCGCTACCTAGAATTTTGGCATTAACGTTTTACATCCTTTTTTTGTGTCAAGTTTTTAAGTTGAGATTGTTATTTATCATTGTAATGACCACGAGATGGTGAAAATTTGAAGCTCAGGTGGATGATTTTGGTAGTTTTATTATTTGAGCTTGATGGTGTAGTTTTGGAGCCTTCATTGTTCTTTTGAACAATATCATCAGCATAAACGTCAGGTAGAAATGAAGTAATCGATTTTTTTTCACATTTGACTAACAGCTTGTCCTGTCGACCTCGATCTTGATTGATTATTGTCGATCTTTAACCTGTCATTGTCTGCATTTTTATTTTTATTGTCTGCCCATTGTAGTATCGCAGTATGTATACCTATTATTTATATCTAAAAATACTATTTCGTTATTCGATTTTTCAGTCATCATGTTCATTTACCCAACATTTTAACTATGGAAGAAACTCAACAATCTATAAGTTTACAATCGTCATCATCAGATATTATTTCGCGTTTGCTTACTCAACGTGAATGTGTCCTAAGTTTTCTGTCAGCTTGTCCTTCTTTAATGGATTTAGAAGCATGGTCTCAATGGTATCAAGATTGTCTATTCTATGATCGTTGGGGTAGTCTTGATTCATTTCTTATAGAGGCTGGAGCTGAACAAGGTGAGGCTTTTTTGCTTGTTTAGAAAATCAAAATAAGTTTATTTTTCCCACTTTAATAACTATTTTTTTAATACCATACTGTGTCTATCTTAGAGGGAGGAAAAGCCTTTTTCTTTTGACTTTTCACTGTTTCTCACCAAAATCTTATCGTAATCCCCGGTAGATTGCATTTCTTCTTTCATTCCTATCAGTTATGGATTGTCTTTTCCTGTCAATTGTCCATTGTCAATTAGTTACACAGACGTTTTGTTTAAAATGAAATTGCTTTTTCTCACGATGACAAAATATTCTTTTTTAAAAAAGTGGTTATCTTTTGAGGTATTACTTAACCAATCAGTCATGGTCGTGATCGATATAAAGCTTGTAGCGAATGCGCCTTAGTTTAATATACTATATCACACCGACTTAGCGAGATGAGCTTAACAAGATAAATGGCAAACGAATCGAAATAATTGTGGTGGAAATGATAGTTAACATGATTAAATATTAAAAATATAGTTTGAGAAAAGGGAATTAAGTCGAGAAATAAAATCTATGAAGTTATAAAAAAGCCGGTGGTTTAAAGAAAGCCCAATAGTAAATGAGTCTGCACCACTACGGCGGATTCTGAGCCATATTATCCAGCGTCTCTAGCCAATGATTCCAATTATCTCACGGACCTTAACGATATAGACAGTGCGGTAGCTTAGTGGTACCTGCTTCTGTTTGGGCGCCATGGTAGTATTCCAGTACTCACACAAATCAAATGGTGTGCGCATATATATTTGGTGCCTCCTTACACCAATGTTTATATGTTTAAATAATAATAGCTTAGTTTTTACGATGCACGACCCACTAGATTCCCAGTTTGAACCCTGCTCCTCCTACTTCACTTCGAGTGGCTGTGTAGTACCATTAGTTTCCACACTTATAGTGTCGCTCATATTCAATTACCTGGTGAATGAATTTCTTAACTTATCCATTATTATCAACAAAACTCAGACCGACAGGTAGTAACTTCATTCACTAATGCCGTTTCGAGTTTTGATCGTCCCTAGTTTTCTACATATTATGTAACGATTGGCATTTCATTCTGTCGTACCTTAGTATTTCCCTAATTGTAGTAGTTGAGCAAGTCCCGTACTCATTGTAGCGTGAGCTCTGTAATTCCATTCTATCTAGAGCAGATATCATTCACTAATTCTCGAAAGCTTATAATAGTGTATTCTGTTGAACAAATGTAGAATATTAGTCCTATATTTCGAGTTTTTAACAAATTTGTAAAGATAATTTCATCTCAATAGCATTTTATTCTTATATTTTCGATTTTCGATGCATTTATGAGTTTATTTACTCGTATAATAGCTATACTGCTTAAAGTGTTCGTATAAAAATTGTAAAGTCAGTAGGAGACCGACCCTCTCTGTGTTGCAACCTACTCGAACTTTTGGCACACCTATTATTCAAGTGTACATATAATGAATTTTCTCTTTGTAGAGTGTTCCAAAGAGGTGCTAGGAAATTGTACCTGCCTGTTTCAAGTTACTTAACGAACATGTCAATTGTGAACACTCAGATCCACTGGCACTGTGATACCCAAAATTTATAGCCTACCAAAAGTACATAGAAGTAGTTAACCACTTCACCTAGTCCTAGATATGGTTAGTTCAGCCTACCATATGCCAGTGATGTGACTGCTAGAACTTCGAGAGTTACTACATAAAAGAATTCGTAGAGCAGTGTAAACTAAAATTTTGAATTTATCAACAAAATTGGAGAGCAAATCATAAATTTATGGTACCACATGATGTATCATCTTTACTCATGAATGTGCCAGAAAAATTGGTTGACTTCATATGTAATGAGATGCAAAGTTGAGAAACGTGAATCAGTTTCCATATTTCCTTAAAAGAACTGATTCTCGGTTGTACAATGAATATGCATTTTTTGTTCAGCAGGAAGTTCTATAGACAATATGACAGTGCTATTAATTGATCACTATTAGGCCTAATCCAAAATTAGGAAACAGTCCTTTAGAAAGTGGTGTAAACAAAAGGGAAATATCAAGAAAGCTGTACACTTGAGAAATCGGTATCCCTATAAATGTATATGATGACGGTCGACCAGAACCTTTGAGGCCCTATATATATATATAGATGGAGAGCGAGAGCGAGAAAGATCGTCCCTCTTTGAAAGTACCGCTCTAAATTGATTCATAATATTGTTGATGTCCTAACATATATTATCCATACATTATTGGCATCTGGGAATAATTATTGTCCTTGTTCTCATAAAAATCAAATTTATCACTTAAATTTGATATTATTGTATTTACGAGTATTTATTTTTCTGCCTTTTTAGTATGTGACCAATTCAATATACTTGCTATACGTATACTTCCATTTGATGGTGCCGTTGTTGGTAACAATAGCCAACTTTTACGATTAACTGCACATCCTTCATCGAATGATTTAAAAGATGCATTAGAAAAATGGCGATACAATCGTGATTCTCTTACAATTCGTCTTGTTGGAGATTATCTAATCGGTTCAGTTATCAAGGCTAGTAGATTGACAATTAGTCAAGCATGTTCCATTATTACGAATCATTTCACTACTACTACTAACATTTCTAAAAATGTCTCAGGTATGATTATTGTTATCAATGAATTTGCGATGTTCTAACCTAAAATTGGATCCATCGGCACTCTTGTAACAAGATAGCCAACTGTTATGTCTGGGGAGTCGTTGCTATTGCAAAACGTTGCAATTGTTTATACTTGATAGCATCATATAGGGGGGGGGGCAAGGAGTAGTACATATAGTTACTATAAAAGCACACATACTAAATATAATTCATCTGAATTAATGCAGGAAATAAATTTGTAACAATGAATGAGTGTTCACACTTTTCATATAAAACAAAGTTTATACTGAATTGTGAATCAAGAAAATATTTGAACCTCAAAGTGTTACACTGAACAAAGTTTGCGCCTATCACCCTGGCCGAATTTCTCAATGAATTAATATATAAAATATTGACTGAAAAAATATCATCTGTTTATCTCTTTATATCACTTCTAGTGACTAGTTTGTGTGCTTTCAATGAGCTAATTTTGTTTTGTTACTTTTTCTAGATTCAAATGAATGGATTTATTTTGTATACAGTCTATTAATGAAGTTACCATACAGTCTATTAGGTTTGGTATTCTCTTTAGTAAGTCTGTTTTGCTTAGTATGATTATCATTACAAGTGTGTTAGAAAATTACCACAGATAGGATATATTCTGTAAATTTTGATGATGGATATATTATAAGTGTAGTTGATATGTGTTCAAACGAGGTCTTATTTTAGCTGTGTGTTTGGCTCATTAGGTATTTTTGTTAGAAGTAAACCATAAAATTTTGATGATTTCTATCCATTTTAGTTTATCAATTTTAGTGAATGATGACTGGTTTAATGATGTCTTTAAGGCCTTAGGTTGTATATTGTCAAACCACTGAATAAGTAGTGGTAAAGTAGGCTTAGGGTACTGGTTCAGTATTATAAATAGGCTGATATAACTGTTAAAACTCACTGACAAATATGTTTGGTTTGTGTGCTTTCTATATCCAATCACCGTCTACTTCGATTTATTTATTCATTTGAACACATAAATATTGCTACAAACGATCACCGAATACATATGTACCACACAAATCATTGAATTTATAAATGGGCTGAGATACTGTCTGTGAAAACCGAAACAGATGGTTTTCTTATGGGGCCACACCCGGAGCCTTCGACCTAAAGGTCTAATCCACAAGGCAGTGGAGCAATGTCAGGAGATGAGGTCCCATGGTAACCGGTGACAAACAGTGGGTTCATACGCTGTTTATTCTTTCAGGATCCTGGAGCCCATGTACACCATTGGTTTTGAATCAAGGTATTCCAACTCCCTTAGGTGGACTCTTCATGTCCACCAACCCGGTTAAAGCACCGGACATTCACTTTTCGTCCTCTCAGTTTCTCAAAGAAAGCGCCCTCTACGAGAAGGCAGCGAGTAGGAGTTCCCTGACAGAGGCTAAATACGCTTGACCATGTGAGAGCATTTTGAGAGGGAGAGCGGACTATCCCCACCCTCGGTCGCACCAGGTCCTTTGGAGGTCTATGTTGTCCTGCTATACGAATAAATTTACAAAAGCCTAATTAGTGAGATGAGATTGAAACACAGGATCATATGATAAGGTCATTGACTATTGATACGAGCCTAATTTAAATTAAATGCCTTCTCTTTTTATCTTTCATTCACTGTTTTATTGTAAAATTTTTCATTTTGAACCAGTACAAAAGTTATTATCAGATTCCATATTATTGACGACCGACCGTCAGACTAGTGAACTCAACTAATACAAGTGGTAAATACAAATTTATCATCTTAACATTATCGAATAGTAAATACACAGCGTATTGTCACGGAATAATCGACAATAACTTCCTATTGAATATCATCGAATTTCTTAAAATTTATTTAATATTTCAGATTATTATTCCAAGTTTAGAATCAGCAGGAATTCGATGTTCTACATCATGGCCATTAGATAAATCTGATATATCACTCATGAATACTGATGTTTCATCTATCAATTATAGTCTTTTACATATCTTCTTCCATAATGAACTTCTTTCTTTGAATACATTCATTGATGAGAATAATTCACAATTGAATCGAATTTATTTAATTTCTGCTATTGGTAGTATTGGTTATCAATTAAAATGGCCTGCTTATATTAAATATTTTGAAGAAAATCGTTTTAAATTAATTGATAACCCAACTACTGTTACTATGATGAATATTGATCAAATGAAAAACATTGATATGAATTGTCAATTATCAACAATTAGTATTTTACCTTCATCTTTATCTGAGACCCAATTCATATCTGAAAATGTTGATAATAATGATAATAATCAAATATCGACTTGTTCAAAATTAATGGAGAATAATGAAGTAAGTTGAAATCAAATATGAAAATGTGACAATATCTCAATGGGTAGAAAAAACCCCCCAGATTTTCTGATGTTTCGTGACTTAGTGTAAGCTACTTCTTCAGAGAATAAATAACCAAATTCAGAAAATCTATTTTTTCTACTCATTGGGATATTACAAGTATATTATTTATTTATAACAATCTACCCAATGTTCAATTTATTCGAAATCGTCAAATCAAACCTTAGTAATGATGCCTATGAAAATGTGACTTTTAATTTTTGCGGATTTTTGTTGTTGTTGTTGTTGTTATCTATCAGTATTGGGTATCTATAGTCTTGTGGAAACTGGTCCTCTTTAATGGATTCAAACTTGGGTTGTTCAGTTTCTCTGCATGAGATTTTACTACTGAACTATTTGGACTATGATTGTCCTACAGAACTAAGATATTTATATTGATTAATCACAGAGTAATATTACTGTGGTTGTATAGAATTGATTCTGCATTCTACTTAGTCAAAAAAGAGTTTATTATTTTTCTGGATCATACTATCGAGAAATTTAGGATATTAGAAAGAATTGCTGTAGAAAATGAAAGTTTATTAACTATTAAAAATACTATCTCCAAACCATACTAACGACAGTTAAGGATACTAACTAATCACGTGATAAATTTAAACCTTACTAGTTAGACTTAGCAATACAACCACCATCTTAAACTTCCTAAATGCAATCCTGAATGGGATTCGAGTAGTGTACGGAATAATACTATATGGGCTTCTGAAACACGATATAGTATCAGTTCATGATGTCATATACGTTTGATCTGAGCTGTATGTTAGTAGGTGCAGGTTGATTATCTGGTTTGAATCGATATGATAATTGAGATTTGTGATTGAAGTTGGGTGTTGATATCGTTGAAATCTGATCTCAAATAAATCTTATTTTCATAGCTGTTAACTCAGTATGTTAGACACTAGCTTAATAGTCAGAAAAGTTAATTTTCAGTCGTCGGGTTCAAGTTTCGAGGCACATTCTACATAATTTAACCTAGTCAGATGTCGAACTTAATTGACGTGAGAGTTTTTTGTAACAAGGGGATTAACATACTCTGTAAATACGACCTGAAAGTAATATTACCCATATATTTTCTTGCATCACCAACTAATTTTTAAATAAAAGCCACAGTAAGGTCGAGCTATTAGTCTAGCCACATTAGAGCATAGTCGATAAAGTTTTATAAGCATCAATGAGTTGTATGCTTTTAAATTCAACCTTTTAAAAAATCCTGTTATGTAGGATAATTCAACCAATGTATCCATTCAAAGTAACGATGTCAATACAAACGCCAGTGATATTTGCAAATCTACAATTCACTTGGATAAAAACATGACAATAGCTGATTCTAAAAATCTATCATCTGATCGCCATCAATTTATCGAAGAGATTAGACGCCGAGAATTTGGTGTCGGTGTTGAATTAAGTGAAGAAGCAACTGATCTAATTCAGGTTAGTTACAATTTAATGGTCTTTCTTTAGAAATAAAGTATAGACTATGACTATTACCATTTTCACCTAAAAGTCACAGAAACGCTTATTGTTTTGTAATAGATACATAATATAATCCAACTTTTCATTTTACTATTCGATAACGTGTGCATTTTTCTTCCTGTTTTGTTAGTTTCACTAGTTTAATACAACTCATTTTTTACTGTAAATTAAAGCAACACATATAAACGAACAGTATTGTTTGCAACCAGATCTCATGTACAACAATGTAATTATATTGCTTACTTACTTACCCCTCGTGGAGGAGTATAGGTCGTCCACAAAAATTGTCCATAGAACTCTGTCCTGGACAATCCTTTCCGACTGTTTTCAGTTGCTATTAATCTTTTTGATGTCTGCTTCCGATTCTCAACTCAATGTGTTCCTTGGCCTTCCTCTTATCGGTATTCCTTCAGGATTCAAGTTTAGGGCCTGTCCCCCCGGAGCAGTTTGGTGATTTCCGTAATGTATGTTTTATCCACTTTCAACGTCTTTTCCTGATTTTTTTCCTCATCTGGAAGCTGGTTTGTTCGCTTCCACAGTAGGCTATTGCTGATGGTATCTGGTCAACGGACATTGAGTATCTTATGTAAACAATTGTTTGTGAGCGCATGTACATTTTTGAGGATGTCTGTGGTAGTTCTCCATGTTTCAGCTCCATACAGTAGGACTGTCTTGACGTATTGAAGATTGTGACTTTGATGTTGGTTGATAGTTGTTTTGAGTTCCATATGTTCTTCAACTATAGGAGTGCTGCCTTTTCTTTGCCGATCCTTGCCTTTACATCTACATCAAACCCTCCTTGTTCATTGATGATACTACTTAGATACGTCAGTCTTTCATCCGGTTAAGTAGAACTCTGTTGAAAACTTTTCCTGGTACCGATAGTAGTATGTTACCTCTGTATTTCTCACACTTGCTTTGTTTTGAAAGATGCTCTGATGATTTTGGATCTGTGAGATTCTCATCTTATAAGTGCTTTTCGTGCTTTGGACAGTACCAGTGCAACTCTTTGTGTGTGCAGAGATCTAACCCCATAAGGAAAAGTAGTAGGTACACGATAAATTACTCTAATTGGTTATTTCTGTCTATTAAACAACCACTATCAGTTAAGCGTTATAGAACGGCGCTGCGTATGTTCTGAAAGTACCCTTTCTCAATCACGAAAGAAGGTATTCACTAAATTGTTAGCTCAATTTCCTGTTGTGCACTCAATATAGCCTTCTCAACAGAAGCAGCTGAATTCGTAGATACACATGGATGTGCTATGATCAGGTAGCTTGTTTTATAGTCGTGGATTCTTCATAGATCAATTAGAAAATGATAGACGGAGGTTAGCTGCATAATAGATTTTCTTCATACATTAGATTGAGATCACTAGGTTAATAATGTTATTTCGGCTGGGTATCTTGATCAGCGTCGAAGTAGTAGTTTAAGCACCGGACATTCACTTTTCGTCCTCTCAATTTCGTAAAGAACACGCCCGCTACGAGAAGGCAGTGAGTAGGACTTCCCTAATAGTAGCTGTATACTCGTAACCATGTGAGAGCATTTCGAGAGGGAGAGTACCAGGACATCTGGGGGCCTATATATGTATATAGTGTAATATGTGAATCAAAACAGCGTTGTACGTTTTATTTTAAAATTAATAAGTCGTCTTATTATCATGTTGACTAAAAGTTTTTAAATAATTTTACTATTAAATAACTTTCACCTCTTATCTTTTAATTCAAGAGAGTTGAAGGGAAATTATCACGTAGTCTTGTACAATTATCTGAAGAACTCTATGGTCTACCTGGACATTTTCTTCTAGAACTAATACAAAATGCTGATGATAATACCTATGGGATAAATGATGTTCCTACATTACAACTTCAATTATCCACCATTTCTACAATTAATAATGAGTGTAATAGTAATACTAATGATCAAAAATTCTCTTTACTTGTTATGAATAATGAATCTGTTGGATTTACTGAACATGATATGTCTGCGTTATGTGATATTGGTCAAAGTACTAAAGTGACTCAACGTGATGCAAAAATAGGTTGGTTTATTCACAAATTTTCAGTCTATTCTTCTTTGTATTTTAAAACAAAAAAGTTTATGATTTTGACAGAAACCATGTAATCATAATATATTATTATTGTTCAATAGAATAGTGTAAAGTAAATAACTTAAACGTACGGCTTGGACAGTTCTTATTTCTTACTGTTCCATCACATATTATGTATAGTTGTTTAGGTGTTTAGAGACAATTGGTATAAAGTCCTGTCGGACTCATTTTTCATTCTACATATTCTACGTTTCCAGGGCTTGGCTGTAGTTTTGAGTGAACTGATCCTCACAGTGGGATTCGAACCCTTGTTAAAGTTGGAGACATTGCTACTGATCTATTTTGACAATGGTTGACTCCTTGTAGGACTAAGATATTTACATGGATTTACCACTCAATAGTAGTGGTAGGTAATGTCATGTTTGTCTAGTCAGTCGCTAGTGGCGATCATCGACCAAGTTGAAAGGTAATCACTAGTCCAAATGACTGACAGTCGTATACACGGTATTTCAGTTAAGGCGATTTCACACCTATCACCTCCAACCAATTACTTAACATCAAAATAGATCGCACTCAATGTCGAGTCACTCAGACTAGTGTCTAAATTACAGTTCTGTCGATTGATTCCACTATATTTACATAATCATTTGTTAAGGTATTAATATGCTGTTCAAATAAAATGTTCCATTTTCTGCTTATTATCAGGACGTAAGGGAATCGGTTTCAAATCAGTCTTCAATATTACAGATACACCGGAAGTTCATTCTAACGGTTTTCATGTTCGCTTTCATCGACAATCGAAATGTACAAAGTACACTTCACAAACTCCGCCATCATTAATACTCATACCTGAATGGTGTGATAATGAGCAATTGATGAGATCTCAAAATCATTCTAATGAAATACCATCATGGTGTAAAACTTTATTTATTCTGCCGTTGAATTCTGAAACATTAATTAATCGTTCAACAAGAGTAGTTCAATCACCCGCTCTCTATATTATTCAACTCGTTCAAACAACACTTCATCCTAGCTTAATGCTATTTCTTAGACGTTTACAGTGTCTTCGATTCTCCTCTATGGAAGTAGGTTGATTTCCTATTTTTTTCGATTATATATTATAGACAAATAATTATCGAGTAATTGTGGTGTGTGTGTGTTTATTAATTTGAGACGATCTATTAGAAACTACAGATCTAGATTTCATGATATCTTAGATTCATTTCTCTGCATTATATCAGTCAATCAGTTACAATTAACATAGAGCCTGGCACAAATGTACATCAACTCGAGTTGCCACGATATCGTACTAGCATAGATGAATGAAGAGCAAAGGAGTCTAATCATTCATGGCACCAATGCTAGTAGAGTAAATGTTCTACGTCTTGTATTTGCCACCATTAGTTTTCTTCTATGATAGAGAGAAAGGGAGAGGAAAAAAAACGAATCCTTACTATGCTTTCATTGTTACCATAGGGGTTTAGGAGTATCTGTATTATGTCAGCAATTTCACCAAATAAGATATATCGTCTGCATACTCCAAGTTGGTTAGTGAGTTTCCAGGGAGTAGATCAAACTCTTAAAAGATAGGCGAAGTGTTACTTCTAGGTGAAGTTAAAATGGAAGACAATGGATAGCCCTTAAAACGATCTTTGAGGTCGATAATTCCTCTACGGAAGGAATTCGTGTTTACTTTAAAATACCAACTGGAATCACATACGACTGTGCAAACCGCTTAATGATCTAGATTGTTACTGATATCTGACACCGATCAGTACATTATAAGATTGGATTCACCAACTTCATGGTCACACCATAAGCTTGATAAGAAAAAACCTCATTAGCTCTGTAAAAATTGGTTACTACTGCAGTGAACGCTACTCACAACGTTGTTTCTAAGTAGTAACTCTCAGAACGTGGCATCGAAGTTACATCAGTTGTCGGACCGAGTGAAAAGCTGCATTACAGCGAAAGTACGCCGTTGGTAGAACACATGGAGACCAAACGAGAAGACAGTTCGAATTTCAGAACATACCGAAAAATGCACGTGGATGATTGAAGACTATGTGTATGTGTTATGTAAATTCTTTGTAACTTATCATAATGAAATTCATGACCTTAAGATCACGCGATTTGTTAGCTTTATTTTTGAAGTCCCTATATGCCCTTGTCATGGCTGATAGTGGGAAGAGACTATTCTCCTTCTTGAAATGCTTCACATGACCACGCGTATACAGCCACCACCAGGGAAGTCTTACTCACTGCCTTCTCGTAGCGGGCGTGTTCTTTACGAAATTGAGAGGACGAAAAGCAAATGTCCGAAGCTGTAACCAGGTTGGTGGACACGAAGGATCTACCTAGGGAAGCTGGAAAACCTTGATTACAAATCAATGGTGCACATGAACTCCAGGACCTTATAGAAACAAATGGCATATCAATCGATTGTTGGTCACCGGCTACCGTCGCTCCACTGATTTGTAGATTAAACCTCTAGGTCGAAGGTCCGGGGAATATATGTATATGTTGATGGTTATTAACTGAGTTCTAAAGAAAATAAATCAAGTAACTGATTGATTTGGAACCATTGAATTATCAAACTTCATTCTCATATATACAATTAAATAATATAACATTTAATGCATAAATTCATTCGAAGCTTTAGGTGATGTTTACATTATGCTAATTCAATATTTATAAACATGGAATTTATTTAAATAAGAATTTTCGTCTAAATTTGATCGAATAATTTCACAGTATTTGGGCGCCGAGTTGATGTGAAACATTGAAGAGGAAGATTGTTGTATTTGTGAAAATCTCAGCGAATGAATTAGAAGTAAATTCAATGTTTTCTCTGGCAATCTTATCCAAGGTTCCTCAAGGAAATATAATCAAATTATCGATAACTTCGATGTTTGATTCTATATTTGTTATGTCCCGATAAGCATAATGAATGGTAACTTTTGGGACCAGTTTATGGACCCATACTATGCGTACATTTTTATCGTCCAATTGTTAAATAACTAAACTATGAATATTCATGTCCCTCTTATTCTGAGCTTCATTTTGACCTATGAACTATTATTATACCATTTACCATTCTTGAATTATGCCCTGTCCGTTAATTACTACCTCCCACATTCACAGCCACATTTGGCTAATTCTTGTACAAATGTTGTTTCCTATTTTATGGCACAATGTGGTCTATCTGGTTGGTATATAAACTAAGTATGTTTAAAATAAATGATTGGTATTGCAGAGTCTGAGATTGGCTTTTTAGACTTAACAGTCAGGGCTAGGCAGGAAGCAAGACCAATAAGGACTCTAGACTGCTCATACGGGTCTTATGCGTCATTGGTCCGATCGATAATTCACTACTCTCTAGTTGGCGGTATCGTTACGTTATACATTAACAGGGCACATAGGTCACAAGTTATAACAATATTTCCTTGATAAAGCTTGAGCCAGGCGAAACGTTGGACTGACTTCAAATTCATTCGCTGAGATTTTCACAAATACAACATTCTTCCTCTTTCATGAAATATATTTATTTCCTTGTAGTGATCTTTTTTGATTAACCGAAAAATGGTAGTTCGATGGTTGTTTTTTTCTTCTCTTTTTCATTTTCTTTTCTTTCAAGTCAAATATTAATTGGAGTGTAAAACGTACCATAAAAACATTATCATCATCTATATCAGGAAAAACTCAATATATTACTGAAATGATAACAGTTCATGAAACTCAATGTAATCTATCATCAGATGGTGAAACCAATACAATATATAAATGGTTTTGTTTTAAAGAAATAATTCCTGTTGACTATAAAGAGCCGAATAAAGTTAGTTCATAGTTTTGATTATAATAATAACCATAATCAATTTGTTAATCAAAATCAAAGTGTTTTATGATAGAAAAGCTGATTTTCTATATCATATCATGGTTAAAAGGATAATGAAAAGGAGTGAGCATTGATAATACATTTCAAGAAGACGGAATGAATAAAAAAAATGTATTTTATGAGCGATATTGAACCTCATGATCTTACTTACTTAGTTCTGTTACCACTCATCGAAGAGCGGAATACCATCCATTAGGATCCTTCATGGAACTGTGTCCTGGGCAATCCTTTCCAGTTGTTTTCAATCGCTATTGATGCTTTCGATGTCTGCTTCCAACTCACGACTTAATGTGTCCCTTTATCTCCTTATTCTTTCTCCTTGAGGATTCCAAGTTATAGCTTACCTCGTGATGCAGTTTGGTGTTTTCCTCAATGTATGTTCTATCAACCTGCAGCGTTTTTTCCCAATTTACACTTCCTCTGTATTTTGGTTTGTTCTCTCCCACGGTGAACTGTTGCTGATGGTATCCGGCCAACGGACATTGAGTATCTTGCGTAGGCAATTGTTACTGCCGGTCACAAGCCCTGGCAAAGGAGGAGGGTTAGGCATATGGGGTCAGCAACCCCATCCTTCAGTAAACAACTTTGCTAAAATGCTCTAATCAGAAAAAATCTAGTTCAATTATAGTTTAATACTTTTAATATATGGAAGAATAATTGAAAAGAATTTAGAAGTTTTAGAACTATTCTACAAAGAATTATTATTGTATGGTCATTATTTAGTGTATGATATTTCTTATATTGCTCTGATTAGGCAGGATATGTATCCATGATCTTGTGTTTCATCTACTTTTGAATTTTTAATATACGTTTAATATCTAGAATTTTCCTGTTCATTTATAATGAGTGAATACTGCATATAAGTGGATGATTTTTACTGAAGATTTTGTTCCAAATCATCAATTCTATTCTATTTGCTTTTTACATCTGACCAGTTGGTGTGCGCTACAGTGTCCTATTCATGATGACGATGGTGAAAATGAAGTTCTCAGTTAAAACATTACATTTTTAAGTACAACACGGGCACATTAAATGAATGTTAAAAATGCTTGAAACTGTTAGATATCACACGTTTTTTGAACACTGAAAGAAAGATGATTATCCTCACATGTTTGGTGATAAGCTTTAGTTAAGTCGTTAATTATTAGTGTTGTGACGTCACTTACTTACTATCTTATACAGAGGGGGTTGTCTTGAAACTAGTTTACAGCTTTACTATGTTAAAGTTACTTAGTGCAACTGCAACAGGTTAGTTCGATTTTGTGACTGAATGTCCACGACGGTAGGTGACAAGAGAACAGTTCCATCGCTGATTTATTATGACCTAATTATTTGGGTTTGGGAAGCTAAAAGATAACTATATTGGGAAAATGTGTATACTATTTATCCGATTATTTTAACTCGAAGATATAAACTAATAAATATATGACTAGTGGGAACAAAACAGCATCAATCTACTGTTGTATAAAATAAACCAGCTTTCAACTGAAGAGGGAATTAGGAAAAAGACAATGGAATTGGTTAAGACACATTAGAAAAATCACCAAACTACATCACGAAGTAAACTCTAACTTAGAATCGTCAAGGCGAAAGGAAAAGAGTAATGCCGAGGAAGCAGACGTGAAATAGAATGAATAGCAATCGGAAACAACTGGAAACGATTGCTCGGGACAGATTTCGATGGAGAATGCTGGTGGGCGGCGTATACTCCTCCAATAGAGGTAACAGGCGTAAGTAAGTAAGCAAGAAACACAACGTTCGAAGAATCATACAATCATATTCAAGCTAGGACATTGGAATAAGAAAAATTAGGATGCAAGGGACCATATTCAAATTACAGCGATTTCAGAATGACACTGAATATGACAGTAATTTGTAAATTAATTGTAAACTAAATTTTTTTAGTAATTTATAGATTACCGATTAGGCATAGCAATGTCCCGGTAGCTAGTTATCATTGTTTGTAATCTGTTCTTCATTCTCCCTTTCTTGGCAGTTGATGTATGTCTCACTGTTTGTAAATTACCGTTAATTAATTATTCAGTTTTGTATTATAAATGACGTTGTTTCCTATTAACAGTGCATGATACTCATATAATTGATACATATTATCATTTGAGTTTTTGAGTCAATATATAGAAAAGAATAGAGAATAATTCGTCTGACTGTTTTTGCATCCTACTCGATCGTTTATGATAGAAGGGGCTACGTTTGACTAATCCGTATTAAGGGATTCAGTCGTCGTTGTTAAGTTTCAATATT